ACTTTATTTGTAATTCAGTGTTTGTTAAGGTAATTCAGTGTTTCCAAAGGATTAACAGTCCGTAAAAGATTTTTTTGTTTAATTAATTAGAGACTATATACTATTGGCTTATTTTATTTATTTATTTTGTAACATAATTTATTATAAATGAGATTTGTATGTTTAACGGTTTAGGTTATTAAAAAAATCGCAAAAAATATCGCAGTTTATATCGAACGATTGCCTTCGGCAGTTTTGCTTCGACATTACGATCGATGCTCTCGTCGTAGTTTAAATACGTAGTTTAAATGTTTAGCTGGTTTTCCAGGCCGCGTTCTCGCCCGGGCCATGATTAACGCCCATTTCGGCGAAAACAAATTATTGTTGTCGGCCAGTCGTCGCGTTGGTAACGCTGTCGAACGCGATGCGTGATAAGATTTCAAGTTCGACCGCTATGGGCCATGGAAATTCTGGTCGCGATCGATCGCAGGGCAAACTCGGGGCGAAATTCGATGTTACCTTCCCTTCCTCCGCGGTATTGATTTCGAATACGTACGAGGAAGTTTCTTGCGCGCGAGCGTGGGGGTAGCCATAAATTTTAATTCAATCTAAGTAGATAAGATAAAACTATTGTAACTAGGTGCTATCATTTTTTAAGACATGTAAATAAAAATGAATTTACTTTTGAGGATCGTTTCATATAAATTGGCTAAAATAAATATTATAGATAATTACATTTTTATTCTTACAAAGCAAGTTCTTAGAAAGAGAAATTATTTGATATGACCTAATGCTATTTTAAAGAGTCTATAAAAAAAAATTAAACCTTTTAAATGATATTCTGAAAAATTATTCAAGATATCGTGCTATATAATCTATATAAATTTATCTTCACATATATTTGAAATAAAACATTGTCATATTTTAAACAAAATAAAAATGCTTTCTTTTATTATGAGTTTATTCTAAAATAAATACATAATAAGAAAAAAGAAAGAATAAAAAAATATAATTTTATTTCTACAGAATACTGATATATTTTTTTTATTTTAAGGGATTTATTTAAATATTTGAACAATTATATGTAAAAATGTTTATTGCAAAATTATATTGAGTTATAATATTTTTATTGAATTTTACTTCACTAAAATTATGTAGAAAATTGTGTAATACACTTGAGAATCAAGTTAATTTTACAGTGAAATTTATGCACCTGACATTACAGGCAATTTTATTGGTATCTTTAATTAATACGCAAATGATGCATAAGTGCATCTATCTAAATTTACAATAGCTTCGGAAAAGCTCGCGAACGTTCGTCATGATCAAAGGGGTCAAAAGTTGAAAAGATATCGCAATATGTATGTACGAAGTATACTACGAACTCGATCTTTAACCCTGTAAAGATCGACATTTTCTTTATCATGGATGTTTGGCGATACATCATCATAAAGGACGAAAATCTAATAATGAGCGATATAGAATTTCAAATATGTATTCAAATAAAATATATTATAGAATTTTGCAGTATTCTTCCAAAGAAATATATTGAAACTAAATAAAGTTTAATTTTATAATTTTTATAATTTTTAGTTTGATATGACATTAACTTATACGTTATCACATCATTTAATTTACAAAATTACAAAATAATATAGTGTTTTACATATTTTATATATTTATAATAAAAGCAAATATTTTCTCGATTTTAGATATTATTTATTTACTTACTAGTTACTTTTGAACTTTTTTGAATTTTATTAATGTAATATTATAAATATAGCATGAGACTATATAAATAAAAAGAATTTTATATAAAGTGTTAAAATTATATATGTACATAAAAAGTGCACATTTTATATAAGAACTCAATATAAAACTCAATACAAAATTTAATTATTTTGTTATTTTGCAGAATACTATAAAGAGTAGAATTTAATCTTTATTGTAAAAATAATTATACTATTATAATATTATGTAGTATTCTATATTTTTTTTTAGAGAAATTCATGATTTATAATAATAATATAACTAGTTTATATAATTTTACATTTTTTTATTTTCTATTTATTTTTGATAAATGGATAAATGAATATTAATTTATGCCGATATCAATTTTGAAAACGTCCATGTCTTCTCTGAATCTTTTTTATTTCATGAACATTACACATTCTGAAGGAATCTTAGGATGCAGTTGAATCTCTTATCTCTTAGTAATTGCCGATGTAATGATTATAAGATATTCCTATTTGGGAAGGATGCACTCTTAAAATCAAGCAAGATCGACCGAGACAGACTGACTGGTACGACGATCTGGGGTCGCAGACGTGCGGACGGCTCCTAAATGCTTAATGCGCCAGACGGATAATTCGGATAATTCGATCGCATTGAAAATAGCGCGACCGAGATTACTTGATCCGGCCGTAGTGTGAAAGCAGCACGAGGCAATTTTATATGCAATAGCATGAATGCAAAATGTATCGATGTGTCGCGGCACAAGCGTGAATTCGCGTCATATGAGATTTCAGAATATGTCGATTGAAAGTACATAAATCAGAATTGAAAGGGGATTGTAGTTACTTGTTTTTAATTTTTTTAGACAGGTGATACAAAATATCGTTGGACATTTCATGTAGTTATTACATAAAAATTATAGTAATACGTATATAAAATGATAATACATGTAAAATACATAAATATAAAATGTATATTAATTGTATAGGTAAAATAAATATATGCTTGTCATAGAGAATTACTATTATAATGCAAAAAGATTCGTAGATTCACATTTTATTCAGTACTGCACATGAATGCAATAGTTTCTCAAAAGAAAGGAAAGTAGGCAAAAAAACAAAACTTAGTTATTATATTACGAGTTATATTATGTATAACAAAAATATTAATATGTTTATATATTATACTATTTTTAAAAGGTATAGATTAATTAATGTTTTAAACCTTCAATTATGAAATCGATGCAAGGGATGTGTTGTGGGATCATTTACTACTAATAAAGATCTCTAGATATAAAGTACATATAAAGTTTCGGAATTTTGGTTTGTGCGATCGATTGACGTACGAGTTTTTCGGATTAAATGTAGGATTGTGATGTTGTGAAAAGGTGCCTCGATCGAAGCAAGTGGCTGCCGCCGGAAGCACCCCATTTCTGCAACAGCAAGCCGGGCACCTATCTTTCGCGGATCTGCTGCGATAAAGACCTCTGCAACCTGAATTTATACCCAGTTTTATTATCTCCCAACTCATCCGAATTGTCTTCAGGTATTTTTCTAAGGGTTCGCGAGCGAGGGCTTTTATTGTTTCTATACGTGTGTGTATTATCATTTAATCGTATTATAGATAACATAATGCCACAAATTAACTCCATGGAAATCGAGTGATTAGCATGATTTTCTAAATAACAAAAATGACAGAAGAAAGTAGTATTGCCATATAAATAAATAAAATTGCATATAGTTATATCGTCAGTGATGTGAATTCTTTTACAGTTGGGAAATGTGCTCTTGTACGAATTATATCACCATGTTTTTTTGTAGCAATAACAACGCGTAAGTCTTTATCACGTATTATCTTTATCGTATATTTAATATTAAATATGTCCGTCTAATTTTTATATAATTTTACGTCTATATTTACGTGTCTAACATGTTTAGCTGTAGAAAATCAAATTTGCATTAAATTTATATACGCGTTTTTATATAGATATTTTTAGATTAACAAAGCACACATATATGTTTTATAGAAATATTTTTGAAAATACATAATAATGAGAAGATACATAACGAGAAAAAAATTTTAATAAAAGTATTGACAACATACATTCTATCTTTTTACAATACCTGAGTATTATCGGTCTCATTTTGTTTTGCATTTGAAGCATCCGTTGTTATCCTTATTAGGTTTTGCCATGCGATTTGCATTTAATTAAAGACGGATGTATAAAAGTATTACGTACAGTTAGTGTTATTTATAAAATATCCAAAAAAGCAATTATTTATTTTGCGATCTTAATACACACATATATGATCATTTTTTTTTAATAAAAATAATTAAAAAGTTATATATTATAATATGTTTAATATCAATGCAAATTTTATTTTAAAGTCATTATATTTAGAATAGTCGAATTATCGTCGAATTAGATTTTTTCTTTTAAATTTTTGCATAAAATATTAATTAATACTTTTCTTCTTTTTGTTCATGATAAATTAATTGAATTTTAAATCACATCATCACGTTAATATATTAATAATATGATATCTAATGCAATTTTTAATTCACTTTATTTACATTCTCGTATTGTTAGCGCACGCCCTGATGTCGATGGAGGCTCGTCTTGTGGAATCAATTATCACGCGATCGAGCGCAAATCAACAAGTATTTACGTCAGTAAGATATGTATGACGATTGCGACTGTCTGAGATATTTCGTTCGCATGCGATTCATGATGATCGAATCGCGGCGCGTGTGCGGTTCACCTTGACGCGCGTGTCGCGACGAAGTACGATTTGCATATATTGCGAATGAAGTTTCACGTGACGATGATACATATACACATCCAGGAAACAAGTTAAAGAAACTGAAATTATTCCGAGCAAAACAGATCATTTTCGGTTCGTTCGACATCCTTTTACTAATAGACTGTTGCGTGAAGAAATACAGGAACAGTTCTTTCCAGAAGTAATATTATATTTGCATATTTAATAATACACACTTGCAACGGTAATTTTAATTATTTAATAAATATGTAATCAATCGTATTATTTTATTTATAAAAGTTGTGATAATATATTACATATTAATAGAAAATTAATGAAGAACAACAGCGAGTTTACATAAAAATACGATAAAAATTAAATTGATGTAATTGATGTATTTTTATATAGAACAATATTTTAACAATGTTAATATTTATTTTGTTAAATATAATTTTTACGTTATAAAAAACGAGAATTTTAAGAATTTGCATATGCATATAAAATATTTCTTTTTACTCATAAAAAAGGTCTAGTATAAAAAAGGTTCGAAAGACGTGTTAAAAGTAACATTCTTTATAAGTATGTGGAATACTGCGCTTTTTCGTAGAATTGCCAAGTTTGAGAGAATCCTAACTAACACACATTGCATCGTAGTGTCTACCGTTTGTCCCTAACCCATATTTTCTTTGCTGTGCCGAGTTCAATTTTGTTCAGAATGTGCGAGATGTGCTTGCTTTGAAGATCGTTTCCGGCGATCTGACACGTTTCGACGAGTCGAGACCTAGTCTTTTCTCGAGTTTGCCGGGGTTATTGTAGTAGAACAAACTCGATCGATAGAAAGACTCACGTCGCAAGACGCAAGTCGACGCGGGGGCCTCCGCGTTATATACACCATTACCATATACGCTACAACCCTGACAGGAGTTGCAGAATTTCAGGAATCAGGAAGATATGCTACCACTGGCTACCCCCACATGTCAGGTATATCACGAGAGTGTGTTGAGTTGCACGGTGTTGCGGATTTCTCTTGCTCCTCCAGACTACTATCTTCTCCCGCTCTCGCATCCTCTCCTCGGTTTTCTGAATATTTCTTTTTCGGTTTTGCTGGAGTTTGCTCAGTGATCTCCTATCTCCTCGATAGTATCCGCATCCGTGTGAATTGTAATGCGAAATAACTCAACGTGTTGTGTTCGCAATACGTACATATACATATAAAACGGTCTCGCGATATTATTGGCCAATTAATAGATGTATATTTATGTAATATATATTTATTTAATTAGAAAATTACTTTATTTATTTAATGAGAAACTTTTAGTTTTACTTACTAATATAATACTCTACTATTATAATACTCAAACAAGATTGATCACTTTTAAGCGCAATTTTCTAAGAAGAAATTTACTTGAGGAAAGTGATAGAAAGTGAAATATATATTTATTGCAAATTATATAAGCCGTCATATAAGTCCACAATAACAAAAAGTCGAACAGTATTACTAGGTACATTAAATAAACTGATTGAACATCGAGAAAAATTGTTAATACTTTTGGATAAAATAATATAATCTAAATTTAAGGATTAAAAATTTTTAGTTATGTTAAGGGTAAAATAGATCAAAGAATGTAGAAACCTAGAAGTTAAAAAAAATTAATGGAGAAAGGATTTAAGGAAATATAACTAATATATCTTTACATACAAAAGTCCCTTCGAGAATACTTATGAAAAATCAATACTTGAACGTTCACTCCGTGTTAGTAGATTATTTAACGCGGTTGAATTATTTTAAACGATAATTAATAATCGATATTGATAAGTAGAAGCAGATTCGCAGAATGCAGCATTAGAAGTGCGCTAATCCTCTTTAGTCATGCTACTAGGAGATTGAATTTCCCGTTTTTGCGTTTTTGCTTTTGAAATCGCACGAAATGTTTTCCTTGATATCTCGTGCCTCAATGCGAAGAACGCGTCGCGCGCGCTATCCCGAGTTCTCCTCACCTCGTTTTCTGAAACTGGTGCAAAATCGGCTTGAAGGTGCGTGCATAAACACCTGCCGGCGTCGCAGCCCGAGCCGCGCATCTTCTGCATGACGAGCGACTCGCGAAACACGACCTTCGTCATCGAGTGCTGCAACAAAGAGGATTTTTGCAATCGGGATCTGAAACCTGTGTTACATCCTAGCAACAATGAAGGTACAGTTCAAACAGACCTGGAAGTTACGAAAACTCTGTAGGTGGCACGGGCTTTAGCTGTAACTCTCTCTTCCTTCACTTTCTTTCTTTTCTTTTTTTTTTTTTTTTTTTTTCTTACTTACGTTTTTCTATTCTTTACTAACTATGTATCTTATAATTCTCGTCTTCTT